ATTCAAATTATCTTTCCCTTGATGGTAGCGACTGTTTCCAAGAGAAGAAATAGAGCTGATCAAATCTGGAGTCTCCATGTACCTCTGATTCGAAGGGACGCTTCGGGAGAACCTCGCTGTGGCGCGGGGAAATTAGAATTTTCCCGCAGAATCTTTCGAGTTCTTGACCAGGTTCGAACTTCATTACAAAAGAAATGCTCAATTTTAGAAGATGACTCCTGGTGTTATGAGCCCGTGCCAGTCGGCTCTTTTTTTGGTGCTCGGTCAGCTTCACGATGCCCGATAGGCTTCGCAAAAATGCGGAGCAAAAGTCATAATAATGGGACGGAGTCGATATCTCGGAATTTCAATCATTCGGTTGGGCAGCGTGGAAAGAGCAGGAGCAGGCTTCCGATGGCTCACAGGATCGATTTATCGATAACTGACAAGCAGCGGGCCGTATTACGTGAGCCTTTTATGCGATACAGCTCTAACGAGGAAGTTTTTGCTGTGTACATTGTGAACTATCTGGTGAAAACTAGACGGGGAAGTCCTACGCCATCGGCGAAGCGAAAACCCCGAACCAAAACCACAAATACCCTTTGCTTGATTGACGTCTTCCGAATGAGACACAAGCCCCGCGGAGGGATCATCTTTTTCTTAATTTCGAAAAATCCTATCGAGAACCTGCCATCGACGAACCGGGGGCCACGTCGGAAGACGCCACTCGCTACCCACGATCGAATGCCGAATTCCTGACTTGAATACGTTCAAGAATGTTCATAGCTCCCTGCGGGGCAAATTATGCATCTGTGTGAATTATATCGAACATAGGCTTGTGGGTGTTTGTTCTAAATGCTCAGTCCGTTCTACATTTGCTGTGAATTCTGTCATTTCCGCTACAGAGCCGCGTCCCATGCTACATCGTATCCACTGAAACATTTAGCGCGTCTGGCATTCCTTGAGGAAGAGAGCCAGGAAAATACGGTGACGTCAGGCGTGCATACGAGGCTAGAACAAAGCGTGACGCATAGAATCGGATCGGAATCCATGACGGAATCATTTGATATTCGAATTCCGATCGAATACTCTTTTTGAATTCCGAGATGTGTGTTTGAAGTGAACAGCTCCGGAAAGTGATCGGTCTCATCGTTTTTTTCTTCGCAGTCGACTGAACGAAAGCGCTCAGGCTCCTGATAAGCTGCCTCGATCGGGTGGCGAATGAATAGCTGTGACGAGCTAGTCAGCTTGAACCGTCATCCTCAACAAAAAAAGAGGAGTTAAAAAAAGCCAACGAAAATTCTCGGGATTGGTTTCAATATGAGGAGATAAAAACCTTATCAAATCTTTCATCAGTAGTTTTGGCAGTAGTCTACTCGCATCCCTCAGTTGCCCTACGTCGAGCTCATACTCATGCACCTGCAGATACAAGTAGGAAGTAAAAATGCTTCGACTCGAAACCAGTTCGATGCTGTTGTCATCGACAAACCAGCTGGTGGTGCCACCATATCACTGCAGACTCTTCTGGTGCCAGTACTCGTCCTAGCCCCGGTAGTCACCGATGCTGCCAATTTAGGTATCTGAGGAATTCCACTCTGAGAGCTATCTACCTACTACCTACGAGCCGACTATGTACATCGGAGAACCGCTCTCTCCAGGGGCTATTCTAATATTTGCGTTAAAAATACTCGCGAACAGAGCGAGAGGGCCAGGAAGTACTGGTCGAGAGCACTAGGCGGAGTGACTTTGCATACTTTGGCCCCTACATGATCAGGTCTGATTGGAGCCTTCGTCGAGAGTTTTTGCTTGGGGAATGATTTTTTCGCATGAGTTGATCTGAGTCCGCTCCTAACGGGCAATGGCTCTGGATCAAGGCATCGCATCGCGAATCGCGAGCTCGGGCTTGAGTCAAGGAAGACAATCCTCGATGTCCGTCTTTTGAAATTATCGGCTCCCATAGTGGCTTCCACGTTTTTCTCCAGAGCCATCGGCATGCTCCACTCAGCCGGAGGACTCGAGTCACCGGATTGCTGCAAGTTGAAGTACGGACCACGAACCAATTCTCGGATCAGTCCCGATCGTTTACCAGAATAGACTGAAGATGTCATGTCTCATGTCATGATAATCTGCGCAGACATCTAGCCCCTCCCAAGAGCGAGGATGACGGAGCGATTTTCGAAGAGCATCATCTTCATTGAGGAAAAATGCTCTCGCCGTATGACTGCGGCTTTCTCAACATCGTGAGTGCATCGCCCTATGAATCCCGCACGGCCTGCATCTGAGCTGTCCCGTAGACGTCCTCAGTCTTCTCAGGTCTGATCAGCAGAGCGCGGGGATTGTGCTCACGTCAGAATGAACACGTGATTTTCGACCGGGGACGGGCCAATCAAAAGGGCGAACTTTCATGGTGGCGACAATTTGGATTCATAGCAAATTCGAATCGTTCATCTTCGGGGCGTGGGGACCGGAAAGCCTAAATCGCATTTAGCTCGAATTCGACTGAACGGAAATCAGCAATCGGCAGTGCTCATTAACAAAGTTGATCAACCGCATCCCCCATTCGGTATTTCCATCGGAACGTTAGCGTCAAACGTCTGAACGACTCGCAGCGATAAAGAGAAACGTTTGGCGCCCGCGGTTCGAATCCGAGGGTTCGCTTCAATGGAGGAGACAATCGATAGGGGAGGATGTTCTATGTTAAATTTATTTTCGTAAATCTCCTCACGCCGCAGGTGAAGCTAACGACATCCAAGCACGAGATTCGAAATATGATCGGAACAGGGGCGAACACCGAAAGTTGACGATTGTGTGAACGAGGCAACGAATCCTAGTCACAATTACTCGGGAAGAAAATCACTTCGGGATTGTCCCGCCTCACTCGCCACCTCTGATTCTGAGTCAAACTAGAAAAAGACAGATCAAATATCCTCGAACGCAGGTCCTGCTCTAGGGAATGAGTTACAGATCTGTGCAGGAGCTCGTTCGGCAGCATAGCGATAAGATCGCAGGCTCTCCGTCCAATAGACCGTCATAAATATGCGGAGTATTTTTCAAATGAAACCTCATAAGCAAATTTTTTTGAAAGCAAGCATAGGGACGGGAAGATATGGGACAGTAAAGGAAGATTGTATCGTCAGTCGTAAATCAAGTCCCCGTCCTACCTGGTCGCTGGCAAACGAACGAGAATCAAAGCGGCGAGAAAATCGCTCGCTTACCAAGCCTAAATTCAATTATCAGCCCCCTTTCATGAGTCACGGCCTCCGTGAGCGTTCGCGTTGCTCAATCCGGTGCGAGTCATTTCCCACCTAGACTTTTGTTCCCCGCCAGACAATGAGTGACTGAAGCATAGCCGCGATGAGGATGGGACCATGTGTCTTATAGATTGTGACTTGAGTAATAGCTCCTAGAAACTCTCGTTCGATTTGGGACACTGTCTCCCGGATGAAAGTTCCGCATGCCGACTCGTGAACGTCATTTTCGGAGCGAAACTAGGCTATCCCCGAGTCCTCGGGTTTCGGGCTGTTCCGTACGAGTTCTCGGAAAGGAGCGTCATACGTTGGTTTGCTTTGCTGAACTGACTGATACAGAATTTCAGAAACGCTTTCCGGATGGCGAGGGGAATTCGGTGCGACCTTGGGTGAGAAAAAAGGCCAGAAATGTTCATGACTTAACTCACCGACCGACTGTCTGTCTGCATGACACTGCTTGATGAAATTACCAACTTCCGATCCACCTGCCCCGAGATCAGATAAGTCTGTGGTCCTAAGACTTCCTTATGTCTTTTGGATGACTTCTCGCCGTGGGTTCGGATCGCAGCTTTGATCTGGTTCCGGTCCTATGAAATATGCAACAAATCATTGGAATGTGACCCGAGGTTCTATCGAGTGACCGGCTTGTGAGACTATGGTGAAACAGAGGGATTACATTGTGTGTGGTGTTTTTCTTCTTCTCCGCTTGATTTTTGGTAAGACTAAGAACACTTTGTTCGCTGTGATCAATCGGTTTCATTATCGAGCGATGCTGTTGAAATAGATTCTTTGTATTTGGTTCGAAAATGGATTCCCCACAGCGAGCCGAATCTCATCCCTTCATGTAGCGGATGGAAGACGGAGCTGGATTTTCAAATTAGGGGGGTTCGGCTACGAATGCGATGACATAACTTCCTGGAGCTCGCAATCTGAGTCCTCCGGATGCGTTCCAGATTCCTAGAGCCAGCCTACAATTTAATTACCTTACCTTGAGCCGAGAGACTCGAAATTTTCACCTAGAAAGAGAAAGAGGGTGCGACTCCTTGAGTTGCTGAAATGATGATGGTGCTCTTACCTGAAGGTATTTCTTCAGTCTCAGAGCGAAGTGATCGCCTAACAGTGCGGCGAGCTCATGGGAAGCATGGGTCAGAAGGCGGGAAGCGCGCGCCTGATCTCGTTAGAGGTGATAGGGGGGGGGGGCGCTTGAGGCCTTTTTGGGCTGGGAAGGCCTTTAATTTTTTCGCTCACCTGCTAGCGGGGAACTCATCCGATCAGAAAGTTTGATTCTGGGGCATTTCGGTCAGGAGTAGTCGTTTTGTCTGCGTTCGAACAAAACTGGGGCTATAATAGAAATATCTTGGGAACGAATCAAACGCGAACTGCTGAGCCAGTCTGTTCTGCCCGTCACGCTTACTGAGTCGATAGGCCGCAGTGAAGGTGAGTACTCCAGACGAATCTTTCTATTCACTCCACAGCTAGATGGCAAGACATCCTTGAAATGCCCTGGGAACAGTTCCGGGGAACTGATGAGCGCCTATTGCAAGAGGATACAGAAGCAGAAGCAGAAACAGCAACGATAGCTCGACTGAGGATCATCGTGGAATATATTGTTCAAGTCTGCTCCACAGTAGAATAGATTCGAAGAATTCGTAGCTGTCTCTCCTCGTACTCTAAAGGAATATGCCTCAGTCGGAGCTCGGGAGCTTTGCGGAATCGGAGCGTCCAAACAGAATAACGCCGAAATATCTCCTAATTCTAGGATTTTTTTTCCGCATGTCTCCGTCAGTTCGGGCGTTGGAACGCGAAGAGTTGGTTTCGGACAATTTTGTTGTCGGGCAGAAATCTAGGAGTTTGGATGAGGGCCCATCGAGACCCGGCACATCCGCCGCAAATGACTTCGTGGACGACATTCTGAAGAATCTCCCGAAATTCGACGCGCGAATCGACCCGGCGCAGTTGGGAGATCTCACAAAAGGAGGCGTTCACCTCGCAAACATCACACTTACCGGCATCAGTGACGCGTACAGGTACAATACCATCGCTGCTCCACCTCTGATTCATTCAGCCGCGATTTGTTTCCGATTTTTCTTCCGCATTCGAAGCCGGTCAGTCCGTCGTCCGCTGAATCTTTCGGTCGGTCGGTCCATCCATCCATCAGAAGGATAGATGGCAAACAGACAAACAAACAGAGTAGAATCCCCGGGAAAAGTAGGGCTTTGCCTGTCTGAGAGAAGATTCGCTATCGGGAAGGAAAAAAGGAGAAAAAAATCTGCAATGCGCTCCCCAATCATCTATCGATCGATCACACAGATACGACAACGCTCACTTGAACATCACCGAGGACTCGCTCCATATTATCACGAAGTTAGGTTCACCGAAGCTCGCTTTCCGTGGCCGCTACCGCTACAAGCTACCGTGGCTTCTTCCAAACGTCAACGGTGACTTCCGTTTGGCACTCAACAGGATTGGTAAGCTTCGACCGTTATTCTTACTACTATCGCTTGGTCATGCTTTCATTAGGCTTCGACGGATGTTCAGGGCCGTCGATTTAACTTACGGCTGCGAAGACTGCAGCGAGACGGCGGATTCGTCTCGCCGTCTCTTCAATGGACTGCCAATCTGACATATTACCGTCTTATAGATTGGAGCCAATTATTTTTATGGTACTTTGGCCGAAGAGAACAAGCAACAAAATGACAAAAATCACGACGGCTGTTGCCGGCTCAATCAGCCGAATGAGTGAAGCTGATGTCCTGCTCAAGACTTAGGCATGGCTCATTTTTCAATGCGCGACCGTTGAGTTTATCCTTTTTCGCTTTGCGTAATTGGATCCCCACGGCGAAAACCGGAACCCATGATTATTTGATATGAGTCCGTGAAATCATGAGTTTCGGTCATTCGATCCAAGTTCGGAATTCGCCCTCTTTACGAGCTTCAGCCGTTCGCTCGCAATTTTCTCCCTCGTTCTCGCTTCTCGGTGAAGAGAACATTTGAACCTGGCGAAGTCGAACATAGAATCAAATTGAATTTCTACACCGAACGAACGCCAATGTTATCGATATTAAGATTCCAACAATCAACAGCCATTGTTAGCGCAACATCTGACAAGGGCAACCGCAGTGGAATGTTTGCCCCGCAATATAATGCTGAATGTATCCGCCGATGCGATCAAGCTGGAAGAAGTGAAGGAGTGGAAGAAATTCGATGAGCAATTTTCCACTTGCAAAACGTTCAACGTACGTCGCGGATATGCTATCCGGTCGCGTTTATGCGTAAGTACGGATAGCGATTTTGTCAGGGGACGTCTCCAGCAATCTGTTCTGTGAGCGACCGAGATAAGCGGCTTGATTCGACGTGTTCGCTTATTGCTACACTGTTCGCCCGATTCGCGAGCGATGAAACGATCGAAACTTTCGACGGATATTACGCGAGTAAACGTCAATCAGCACCTCATCATGAATCACCCATAGCGACGACGGGTTGCGTATTTCGGGGACAATCTCTGGAATATACTGCTCAGCGAATATTCTCGCCTTCATGACGCCTCAAGTCGACGCTCATTCCCACTATTCGAGCAAACGGCCGCAGCGTGTCTCGCTCACGAGCGTACAGTTATTACGTCATGGATTGAGCGTGTTGAGTTTCCAACGGAATTTCCAGACTGTGTCGATTTCCGAAAATTTTAGGGAACGGGAGTTCCAAAAATTATATATCGCCGACGAAAGAACTCCCCCTGGTCCCCATCGCGAGTTTTCGCCGCAGAAGTCATTATGATCCTCGAGCCATCGTCCGAGGAAGAAGTTGTTGAGTTCCGCTTCGGTCTATAGCAAGTGAGACCGGAAACTTTATCTGAAGGCATCAAGAGCTTCGAATCATGACCTTCGAAATCCGCGCGCGGAGCGGGTTTCTTTCTTCATTCGAAGATTGAACTTCTGGAGGTATCTGTGTTGCAAGACTAGCGATCGCTCGCTGCGCTGCTGTGAGAGGTACGATAATTCGATTCGTCTGGGGATCTTTCTAACCTGTCATTCGACCAGCGATTGTATCGTTTTACGCTAGTTGACGGCAAGCTAAGCGCCATGTTCCAACACCCATGGAACCCACGGTCAGGTGAAACCCTCCAAGGCGGCAGCGACAACGGATAATGGGTCAGAATTCCCACGGGAGTTCTGAGCTCCGGATCCTTCCGGAGTTCGGGTCAGAAGGCACGGAGATGAAGTAGACAGGCGGCATGGAGGGACTCGCGAACTAATTGAAAGACGATTTTATTCTCAGTGATATTATTCGATATCGGACTGACGCCCGACGGAGCTCGACTTAATCAACTCGAGGTCGCAAATCTCCATTCGATCAGATTTGACGAGCTGAGCGGGTTATCTCCCTTCAACTGGGCTCTACGCTATCTACTGGAAGCGGTGTTCCGTCTCAACAAGAAGGTAATCACCGATCAATCACAGAGGAAGCCGCTGCCAACACTTCCAAATCGATTTCTCGACGCCTCCATCTCGGAAGTTTCTTAGCCTCTCAGGACGCGACCAGAAACCGTCTACGGGGTTAGCCGACCAAAGGAGAAATTCGACGAGCCCAAGTCGATTCCGGAGGCCGAAGGTAAAGACTGAGCTAATACAAATACGAATGGTATTCGCCATTTCAGCCACTCATTCACACTCTGCAGGAGCAGAGTCGCACTTATCTTCTGAAAGCGATGGATTCTACCACGGGAGCCGCCGATGCCATTAATGAGATTGAGAAGGAAATGATCGATGCAAACAGAGCTGAAGACTACCCAGTCAACGACCTCTCATGAAGATGGCACGAACAAAACGAATCAAGCCACTTTTCGATCGATTCATTTCCGAATTTCACACATTCACCCAGTGTGTCGTCTCCTTCAATTGTCGCCATCTCGGAAGCCATCACCTGGAGAACAATCAGATCGGCTCCGGGTCGATCGGGCTCGGCGCTCCAACTCGTCCCTCGGTGATTCGATTTCGTGATTGGACGATTCTCTCGATTGAAACGGTCGGAAGCGAGAAACTGAGCCTCGGGCTCCATCTTTCACTCTCGTCTTCGAATTTAGAACAATGAGAAATCATTACAACCTATCAAGAGTGCGACTCTATCGGTCAAAGGGTTCGAATCCTAAACTTTCTGAGCGGATGTTCCTCAGAGGGTATCCTGGATTCTGAACTACTCCCGCTGTCCTGATCGGATCGATGGGATCCGCTAGGACCAGAGGAAATAGAGAATCAAGGAAGCCAAGTTAAGCTATCCAGTCGTGAGCATTGAAGCGCACTCACTAACGATCTGCGGAAACTACTTATACGCAGCAGTCACAGCAGCCATATGGCGAACTCATATTGATCCAAAGATAAATCATTTTCTAATTGAACACGATGGAAAACTATCCGTACAAACATACCGCGCTGGGACGGAACCCCCTCATGGATCACGGAGCCCGAGATCGCCTGCGCCAAGGTTTACGGCTCCAGTGAAGAACAGGAAGTTCCTGTGTCGCGCAAACTGCTCCCAAAGACCGTCGCCTTGATGCGCTCCAAGTACTGCGTATGACCACGATGTACTCATGTCGGCATGGCGTGTAATTTGTTTTTTGTCTCCAATGACGCGATTCTAGATCTTGGTATCGGCTCGGGATTCCGAAAGGCGTCCGGTTGCCTTTGACGCGTGAGAGCGAATTTTCGAATAAAAAAACTGCCAACACGTCTCATGTCTGACGATGAAAAGTTCCCCGAACAGGAGCGATATTTAGAGCTTTCTTCACGACAAGTACAAGCATGCCTGTCGAAAACCAACAATCACTCTGCGGGATCTCGTGGACGTAACATGAATGCTTGTCTTGTTAACGTCGCTCTCGAGAAAGAACTCGCTCTCCTTCTTGTCGCTGACGGGAGACATGCGAACACTACCACGTACCGCTACCCACTACTTGAACTACGACCACGGTCTTCCCGGCGCGATTAGAGGCAAGCTGTGCGTTCCGAGATAGTTTCAAAATTCTACTTCGAAGTTTCGCCTCCACTCGGGACTGCAAAGGAGAAACATTAAATCTCTCAGAACATTGTGGGGGCTTTCTATCTTTTAGTGCGATAATTAATTCGAGCAAAAAAAAACTGAAGTCCCATGTGAGAAAGAACGTTTTCCGAAATCAGCCATGGGTTCGAGCGCCGGACCCTCGAGCTTTGTCCGCTTGCGCTGTACAGATTTTTCGAAATATCGCTCCGTCTGAAGATTGCGTACCTATTACCTATGTATGTACAACGGAATGTCATTCATCGGAAACGGTAGCCGTCGTAGTAAAACCGAATGACTACTTGAGTTCCATTCAGTCGAGCGACTTCAATCGACGATGTCCCAACCCATCGTTGCGGCAGAAGCGGCCGACAATAGAACGGGCCGGGCGAGCATTCGTGTGAACATCTCCGGTTTCAATCAAATTTTATTTACTCTTGCTCGCGTTTCATTTTGTCTCGACTAAATCGCTTTCTAATAAAACATTCTCCGGGATAGCATTGACTCATTCTGTTCTAGCACGTTCTATGTTTAGCATCAGTCAAGCTGTCACGGCAACCCCACAGTTTCGGCACTGTTTTCCCAAATGCTGCATCCTTCACGTGGGGCTATTATTGGTTTCGGGAGCTTGATGGAAAACGATTTACGAGAGCCTGCAATTTGTTCGCATATTCGTTCCGAACTTGAAGGTGGACAGGTAGACAACTTCTCTTCACTGTCCACGTGGGGCGTAGCCCCCGTGAATCGTTTAGATTCCTACGCGTGCATCGCAAATTAAACGAGCGGGCCATTTGCCGAGCAATCTATCAGATTGCTCCTTCTGGAGTAATCTTCCAAAGATGTTCTTCCACCTCGGCCGCTCATTCACGATGATGCGTTTCATACATCACCGACGCCTTGCGGAAAGATATACGAAATGGCCGTTGCTCTTTTCCTCTCTCCTCCTCCCGTTCTGCTCTCTCGCGAGCGCGCTTCCATTTACTTGGCTGTTCCGTTCCTTGTAGCAAAATTCTGAATTTACGAGGTGGGGTGTCGTCTGGTCGGACGCTAAAGAAATTCGGCCGGAAGAGACGTGCCTCGATTTTGGAAGTGCCAGCCAAGCAGGCACAAAAGCCTTCGAACAAATCATTTCACTTTCGTCTTCTGTCGGCGCGAATAGTCGGACGCACAAACGAAAGAATGAGGAGTAGGGATGGAGAGCTGCACCTTGCGGGTTATGGGATACACCGACGTCTAAACTTCGCTAATGATCGGAAGAACAAATTGATCACAGACTCATCTCGGAGCTCGATGGGACGACATTCCTTCTTGACATCCGCAGGGAGGCCATGAGAGAGGGCGACGATTGTGTCACGAATTACGATCTCATTTGTTTCCGTAAGTTTGGAAAGTGCCCAGAGGAGTCGCACAACTGCAGCATCGCGGCTTCGGCGCGATATTCTTATGGCGAGCGTCCCACTCGGGGCAAGCGCTGTCCGTATTCGACTCTCGCGGTGTCGCTCACGGGTATGCGCCCTGACTCCACTAACTCCTGTTCTGGAATCGCGCTCGCAAACTTGGGCGAGCAATTCGATCTTTGGAATTATAACTTTGAGCTGAGCTGGATGCGGCTCTCCCCGGCGATAGTCTTCCAGGCAGATCTCCCCCGGTCCGTCCGGAGCCGCCAGATTGCTGCTTCGTGAATTCATCCGTCACGGCAATTCCAGAAGAGAGGCCTAGAAACAATTCTTGGTATGATTTGTTGACGGTTCCGTGGGGAAATATTTTTCTCCGCCAGCGCACTCGATCGATGAGGAAATGTATAATCAAACATTTCTCGGGAGCCCGTCCGCATCGGCGCCACCTCAGTCCAAATACATCGAGCTGTGCATAGCTCCGCTCTGTCGACTGCCAATCTCAATCTTCCGTGGAAAAGCAATACCTTCCGAACAGATACGGAACGGTTTGTATGAAGTCTGGCGTGGTGTGAGTGGAGCCGACGTTTTCTCATTTATTCCTTGAGTAATGAGATCGCCGCATTGCGATCCTCATAAACGTTTTATCGCAGTGAACAAGGTAGCGAAAGCCTGATATACCGCATCGGTCGTGACCGAGCTTTCCCCAGCGGTGAGGATATCCGACGTCTCAATAGCCTGGCATGCCCCGAGTTCTTCCCTGACTCGTTTCCGCAAAAAAGATTTCACCTCAAATCTTCGACTGTGTGTCAAACGTACAACAATACAGTTAGATGGCTTGCCGATCTTAATTCGTGGGGATTTGTAGGAGCTCTCAGAAAAAGTCTTCGTCGGCTGTCTTCCTTTCCGTTTTTTTTCTCAGTCACAAATCATGGAATTGAGCTCCTGCAGTCAGACTTCGGTCACTTCAACGTTCCGGATGCCATATCTGGAACAAGGAAAGATCAAGGATCGGAGTTCCATTCCATGTGCATCAGGGAAGTCGAAGCGGTGTAGCTTCGATCATAAGCCTCTGAGACCGAGGAACTAGCCGTCTTCCTCGGTCAGGTGTCTTCCCTCGTGAATATCATGTCCAACATCGAGGAGAGCCTCTCCACATTCCAATATCCTGGGATACCGGCGAGAGCAGAGGTCTCGATCGACCCGCCGAAAGAACTACTCGGATGTGGACCTCCGCAAGCTCAGTATTGTCACCAAGCTCAGGAGCATGGATATCGTCAGGGAGGAGAAATGCAAAATAGATATTGCGTTCAGAGATTATCTGTGGGTGCATCTTCATTTGTCTGTAGCACATCTCCTTGCGCTTTGGCCGCTCTTTTGCAATGGCGACCGAGTGCTAGCCGCGTGCGTGAGAAAATTTCTCGTTTGCCCCCGACAGCCGCGGATGAATCGAAGGAAGGTACGCTCTTCGGAAGCCAATGTTTAGTAGGTAGCCTTTTCAGCGGCAAATATCAACATTTGGAATCGATCGGCGCTGTTGTCGTCGTCGTCGCCGCAGCCAACGCCGCGCCGTCGCGTCGGTCGTTCGCTCGGAATCGAGAATCGGCTCAAAGACTGACTGACTGACTGGCCGGCCGACCGGCCAAGTGAGAGTAGATACGAGCCAACGCACTTCTCGGAACACACGTGCATTCATCACTCCAAGACAATCGCTTCCTCTTTGCTCTGCTTATCCAGCTGTCCGAAAGTTGCCCCTCAATATTTCATCCGGGCTCGTAGGTGTACCGACCATCGGTCGGGCAAAGGCAAGCCCCGTTGGACCGCACCCCGTAGAATGATTTACCCTTCGAGAATGAAACGATCCCAAAAAAACCGACGCGGTGAAACCTCAGTATTACTTCGCCCGCGTCGATTTTCATAGCTTTTGCTTTTCCCGCGCCTTAAGTATGCTGCTTTAATCAGAGGAATTCCGCTACTTTCTCATGACCTTGCTGAACGGACATGACATGGGCGAACCTTCACGGAAATGGATGATGCGATACCCTCCTTATCGTCGCAAAAAATTATGACCCGGATGAGCTGGGTGGAACCGGTGGGAAGGTATTAAGAGAGAGACTGCCCTCACGCTCGCTTCAATCCTTTTTCCCCGGGAGCTTCATTAAATTTCTGTCGACTCCAATCTCTGGCCGTATGACGAGCTCTGTAGGAGACTATTCACTGCGCCTGGTATTCTCCCAACGTTCTTATCGATCCAGTTACTCCATTCGGACCCACTGGAGGATGAGGAGCCTCTCTTGCTTGAGAGCGAATGTTTTTCCCGCTCATGGGTCCCCGATATCTTCGACGAATATCTTCCCCATTCATTGATTCAGAACCTCTGCTATGTGGGGTCCGCTATGGTCGAACGACACCTCGCTTCGATATCCAATGATTTGAGTCAGCGCGACAATTCCGCGCAATATACGAAAAAAGGCGAAAACCGCGATAAGTGCCGCAATAAAAGACAATTTCGCACCGCATGGGATTACCTACTCCTAGAACTTGACCGGAGTCGTCGAAGGCTAAATTATAAATGTATTCCGTCTAGTGTTCCGTCGCCGGATAGCCGCTCGATGGCTTTTCCGTCGAGTAAAAGTGCGAACATAGACCAACGTTCCGTTCCATCGGCCGCTCGGAGCGATTAAGTTCGACTCCGTAAGATTTGTCCGGAAAAATCTTCATGAACCGGGGACACTTCCCCCTTCGCCACTGACCACACCACCAGGACGCGGTGACGAAGCGCGATTTCGCAATCGACGAAAGATCTTCGGAATCTCTCTTTCTCGTGTGCTGTCTTCTCCTCCCTCTTATCGCAACGAGGGGACCCATTGGGGCGGAATCTGAAGACCTGCGAACCGCCTCAAGTATGCTGACAATTGTCAATTGACCATCAGGCCATCGTCGGTGTGCACTGAAATCCGATGCGACTCCGCTTTCCCGCCCTTAAATCAGCCGATCGTTAATGGACTTGTCAGGATACTAAGGGGAAGATTAAGCGCAGGTGAAGATTAAAGGAAATCACTTGAGTCGCCGGTCCAGCGCTTCTTCGGAGGGATCACCATGAAGAGTCGGCTTCCGAAGCTCCTTTTCGGCTCGTCGCCGTATCTTCCAGCAATGATCCATGGCGGTGATATCGGTCTTCGGTTCGGCGTAGTAGCAACGAGAAACCCAACGACAATCTACGTACTACACATCCACCTAACATGTCGAACGAAAAACCATTTACCTCTACGAATCCGATAAACTGACCAAGCTTCGCGTAACAAAATGGTGCGCGCGTCGATTAATCGGCTCCGAGTCAAAACAAGATTTCACGGTGGTTTCGCAGCAGAGCGTCTCAGGGTGGCGTCCCGGTACGGGGTTTTCTCTCCTTTATTTTTGATAGAGAACTCTGCCAATTACGAAATACTCACGTCAACTTTGATAAATTGATTGCCGAACATTGATAGGGGCGTGTAAACTTTTGTTTGACTTTCTCACTGTTGCTCTTTTGGAGCAGCCAAACTCGTGGCAACACCCGATTTTTCGCACACCATAATTATTTTCCCCAAAATTTCACTTTTTTCGGCAGTGATCCGAAAGTCGCCCAACACGCTGACCATTACCAGTGCGAGCTGACAAACGACAAGACGGGAGGTAACCGTCCGTTCGAGGTGGTCTTTCTTGCAACGGACAGCCGCGCGTTAATGAAGAAAGCGCGGAAGCCACGTCCAGTCTGGTTTCCTCTATTACCTCAAAGTTCACAGCTCTTCGTCGGGGCAATCCCTCACGGTACCGCCTCAGAGCCGGTGGAAACCATCGTTCTTGTTGTGATAGCATCCCTCGATTCGAAACAGCTGATAAGAATATTCGCGCGGGTGGGAGCCGCATAGCGCTTTTGCACTAGTTCACAGACTGATCACTGACACTTACTTCAATTACTCAACATTCTCCCATCACAGCCATCGTGATTCATCTCTGCCACTGGCTGCAGCGAGTGCCGAAAGACCGAAACTCGTGGTGATGTGGCCTTGCGACGGTGTGCCTGGACTTCAATTGCGCTATTAAAAGCCCTTGTTGCTAATTCGAGGGCTCCCAGAGCGGGAGTATTTTTCGCTGAAATGTCGGTCTTCTGTCACTATTTATTTCGGGAATACCTGACGTTATGGTTTTCCCATTGCGTACGAATCTGCTGCGGGACTGATCTTAAGTAACCGGTTTCGTCGCCACCTCCGCCCGAACATGGGGAACCGAGAGCTCCCTTGGGCTCCTCGGGACCCAGGACAGCATGACGAAAGGAAAGGTTCCCGATCAAGAAGGTCCTGTCGAATCGACATCATTACGCAGATATGCCCCTCAAGCCGGACTCGAGCACTTGACGCTGAGTCATCTTGGTGCGGGATTCTCGTCAGTTCTGTGACTGTAAACTCGCTCAGTTAGAATATTCCACCAACGATTGCGAAGGCATTCGGACCCGTCCACATGAGTTTCCTCGGGAGGAGCGGGAGCTGTTTTTCCAGTGCGGGTTCCTGTCCTAAACGAAGGAGACTCCCCGCGAATCGACTAGTCGTCTCTCATTCCGCGCGACTAGGCTATCCGAGTAGGGTGTCCAGGACTTCAGCGTGCATTGTCGTGCTCCTCGACGGGTCTTCCCCTGGAGTTCTGCAGTATTCTTCTGACACTGCTCGTCACTCGAGCTAGCAGAAATAATGATTCGCTTCTACTTGAGTTTCTCGGATTGAAGTTTCCATGCAGACAAGATGCAATCTACCGCCGATTGCTTCGGAAATCTGTCCAACTTCGAGTGTCCCGACCTTTCCGCGCCGCAGAGCTGGTATCGGATAGATTCGCGCGGTACTCCGCACACCGCCGAAGTCTTCAACTTCCCCAGCCGGGAGGTAGGGCCCGGTCTGTCCAATTGAATAATGCTCCCGTGGCTCTTCCCCAGAGCAGGCGACAAGTGCGGGCGCGAAGAGTATAGACAACAGGTCACGAAGCTGACTGAGATCCTCCGTGAAATGTGCAACGTTTTCTAATCTTCCGCCAAACATTGACATTTAGCGCGGCCGTATTAAATGCCTTGCGAAACCCACTTGACTTTCTTTGCCTTTTGTAACTCTTCAGTCATGAACGTCACTATCTTTCTATCACACTGTTGTTTGGATTGTTGCGATAATTGAACGACCGCTCGGATGACCAATGCGTCCACACAGTGGCCGCTGGGTCAACGGTGTGGATTACCTATCTGATTCCATGTATTGCGGGGATGTCTCTCTCGGACTGAGTTCTTCGGTGAATAGATGAATCGACTTTCTGTCCCCCTCGGGACGGCGCCAACCACAAAAGAATCCCGGGAAGTAATTTCTGCTGGGTCTTGGCGTCGCCTGACAGCGTTGAGAATTCGTTCTGCTATTCAGCCTGCTCATTAGCTCATAGATTCCGTGAAATCGATGTCGATGGGCTTACGCTTCCGACGACATTCCAGTTCGCACGTATTCGGATTGACAGAATCGCCCTGGGGATCGTCTTCGAATTCACAGTTCGAAGAATCGCGTGAGCACTGTCTCAGTCGGTTCACTCTCGTTGGAACCGTGGGAAGGATTGCTATATTCATGGAAATGTCCGAGGCGCTCGATCGCTTTATCCAATGGAATCCATTTTCCCTCCCGGCCAGAAAACTTTCACCGTGGACTGATTCCTCGCCCCAGCGAATCTTGAACAACCGGTTCGGGTCGTTCCGATGAGCAAGAGGAGGGTCTCATGCTTGCAACTCGTTCAAAATCCCTGAAAACTGCCTGAGCAAAAATTTGCCTTGCCCGTGGCAACATATTCAAGCAATGTCTCCCAGATCCGTCGCCCACGACCAGGGAAGGATCGATCGATCCCGAAATCTGGACACGGCTTCGGGTGATCACTCTGGACCCGGAATTCCCGAAAAACACCATCTCTGAGAATCCTATATTCTCTCGGCTTCGGGAATCCAGAATTCCTGAGGCTGGGAATTGCAAATGCGAAACTTGGTCGTGGAAGAAAATATTGGGGTTGGTCATCGCGGGGTCTCGTCTTCGGACTTTTCTGGCTCGATGTCATAGCAAACAATCACCATTTCTCGGTGCTCCCTTCGCCTGCGGAACGTTCTCGAATGGATTTTCTTGGCTCGCGATCACATCGTGAATCGTGAGCCCGTTCCGCCGGGTCCCGGCCCGCTGGAGCCTCTCGAACGCGGTTAAGGATGAAACAGCTCCGAGGAGTCAACAAGTGCGACCCGTCGAAACTCATCGCAAACCGCGGAATTGATCTAAGCTTTGTTTGTGCGAACTGTTATCCCATCAGAAAACTCTCTCGCATTGCTTTCTTTCTTCACGTTTTTCGTTGTCATATGAGAGTCCACCGATGATATTCGGCGCTCGCGGCTCTGTCTCCCTAGAGATCTTCAAGCGTGTGGATTTAACCTCAATCGAAGATTGTGCTCGTCACGATCACAACGCCACAGCGGCTCAACGCAGTTTTCTCTCCTCTTTACGTAGAAACGTGCCTCTGAAAATCGCGTTATTGTCGGCAGCAAATCCCACAGCTGACATCGCCGCCGTCGCCGCGGTCTTTGATGACGATGATGATGATTATCACGTTCTCAGCAACAATTCACCGGCAGTGATCTATTTCTTGAACGACAAAGAATTCAATTAAAGTGTGCTTAAGCGTGCGCTCAGCAATAATCACCCAGCCGTGTAGCTGTCATCCACGAGACAGTGGTTTCCGCAGTCGAAGACGACCAATTTTGATCGATAAAACGAACGGCTCCTTCGTGGCTCATTATTCCCCTCCAGCTTCGTTTGTGCCGTAATTGAATGCGATGGCTACGACGGAGCCGGCATACGGGAAAAAATACGGCGTGGGTCGCTTGCCCCGACTTCGATTTTTGGTCACAAACATCGACGCGACCACGGGCGTGTGGAAGTGAGTGAACCGTTGGTGACTATCCATCGGCTTTACCTTCTTACCAGAGAAAGCTCGACCCTTACCACAACGAAGAGGGCCCGCTTACCGCGCGCACAGACGCCGTCGCCGGCAGTCACAGCGTTACCGTTATTCGCGACTGGGTTGCTTCGCGATGTGCGCGTCGGCGTTCGTCTGGCACTTGTGCTGACAGTATCATTCGAATCCGTGCTTCGGGATATCGAGGTGTTAGTGTGGCAGTCACTGTACGTTCCTCGAAATTGGATAAAGTGAAACATTCTCTTCGGATAGAGCTTCGTCTCCTCTGGTGAAAATGTCTCGAATGAGGCGTGCGGTCTCAACCTCGAGCTTCGCATCCGCACAGTGGATGAAAGGCACTCAGGAGTACATCGAGTGGGGAACTGTCAAGCGCATCGTGAAAAAGTAAGTTGACCGTCTTTTCGAATGCCCGCTGGATTCTCGAGCGCTCGCACAAGCCACTGGGGTGAAATCCGCACCGTTTTGAGATTAGATCTTTCAAAAATGGAATATTAACATACATATACATCGGCTCAAAACAACAAGCGAGAGCAGCTGCCTTGAATCTCCGAATGAGTCAGGGGGGACCCGGCGTGTAATGACTGTAGACGGAATTCCAGTGACTGAAGAAAGCGTGTAATCCGAACAGCCGTCAATCTTGGACACGATTCGCTTCCATTGTCCAGTTGATTCCGCTGCTGTCAGACATTGTTGCTTCTAAAGAAACAATGTTAATGACGATGTACATAGATCGGGGCATCAGCACACCTGTAGCAGCTCCCCTCTGAAGACTTAGATCAAAACACTGGAATCTTCGGGGCACCTCGGCGTCCAAACGCTCAGCAGACGTTTCACGCAGGGAGAAATCCGTCGCTGCGGCCCTAAATCGAATGATCCGACACAGCTCGGCTGAGTCCCAACCTGGAATAATCCTTCGGCTCGGCATCGGAAGTCTTTCAGAAGCGTCTGGATCCCGTGCAGATTTTTTCGGGTACGTCGAGCCGAGCGAGAGAATAGACTTCTGTCTATTCATTGGGCGCTGCATCGAATCTCAAATCCGATCGCGCGAACAAGTGGGAATAATATACAGATTCTTCGGCACCGCCGGGCGGATGAATGCTTGTCTTCAGTCCCTTCCACAGAAACCATCCCACAGCCGAACAGGCAACGAGGCAAACCAATACCTCGCGCTCACAGCGACTGTGCGAATGGTCGGCTGTGCCGGAGCAGAAAGTAGCCGGAAGGAGCGAAAGCAAATTTAAAGAAGCGCGATGCGAATATAACGGACATGGATGGCTCCGCGAGACGTTCTTTCTGGAACTGTGCGCTGTACTTTCGACTCCGGACACTGTAGGAAAAACGCTGTAAAATTCACACGATTGCTACGGGACGACAAGCTTTTTCCCCTGGTGTCACGTTCACTTTCGCGCGTGCGCTTATTGTTTCGAAAAAAATCCCGCTATCCCCGGAATCCCGGAACGCTGGGTCTTCGGGCTATGGGGAAGACAGCTAAGCGAATCGAAATCACTCGGTCAGATATATGCATTGGATGACCGAAGGATCCGTGCTTCCATCCCCCGTGAATTAGGATCTCGTCGGATATGCGCCGAGTTCCAACAGCGATCGAGTTCAAGCGAGAAAGACTCTATCCGATTCGAATTTATTATGAATTTATGTTACCTGATTCACGAGGGAATTGATAGAAATTTGAGGAATGCAGGCTGAGTAAGGCAGTTCTCCAAGATCAGCCATCGTCGGAAAATTTCTCCCTCGGGGAATTCTCTCGGCGAAAGTCATCTTCGAAGGAATCGTACGTCATGCAACCCGCTCACTCGATAGATTTCCAAAGCGTCGGTGTCGAACTCGTTCACATTTGTCACGGGTGACGCGTTAAGTGGCTCCAGGAGATCGGCGTGAGGCGAGCGCTTTCCAGACCGGATGCGAGACCATGGCAGAAAACTACGGATTTTCGAAGGAGGGAGTCTCGTTACCATATTTCAATCTGTATCTCTCGTTTCAATGCATTTCGATAAGACCGAGCCGGTTATATCGTGTCATCCGGGAACTCTTCCGTTCCTGATCGAGTTGTAGACCAGAAGAAAAGCCCGCAGGTGTTATCTTTGCCGACAAGTCGCCTCTGAGGTACCGCATCCATCGTCCGTTCCCTGTACGATACAAAGCCACAAACACTCATCGCGTAGATTAGAAGAGATGTGGTAGCATTAATTCCATCAATGGGAATTCGAAGAGCATCGACGACATTCGCCTCGATACAGCTACCAGATAAACCGGAATCGCCTCCGAACGATTTTTCCACGAGCATGGCTCGATTTTACCGAAAAGGAGCGTTGTCCCCGCATCCGTCGACAATTATTGCAATCCAATAATCGGATGCTCATTCCGCTCCATTGGATTGAATCTTTTGAGCGTTCATAGGTCGAATGCTGTGGGCTCTGCTGTTTTGAGTTGTGGCATGTTAGTCGTCGAGCCGGGTTCCGTTTCTCGGGCTATTTTCGTCGCGACCAGTCTCGTAGCCTGGAGTAGGTGCCCTACTCTTTACTACACAAGTCGGTGTCGGAACCGAAACAAACCAAACAGATAGTGTTGCTGCCAATGAGAGCGCCCTGAGAGTATCCAGCAGCTGAACAGAGCTCGGGCCTACATCGGAAGCGTGTGAAACTCTCAAGTGTTCGGCGGCGCCAGCGTCCGCTCAGGAGCCCAAAATCATATTCGAGCCGGCTAGGATTAGGAGATATCGTAAGCGGTCGATATCGCGCGAAGTCCTGTGAAGGAATTTCATCCAGAGCCCGAACGAAGCGTCGAATGAGTGGAAATTATTGATCCGCATTATATGGTCACCGAGTTGGTTCAGCGGAATCGCTTTGTCGGCAATCCCGTTATTGCCTGACCTCAATTACGATATACGGTCTATGACGCGCTAAAGCTCGTGTCTCCGTGTCGATTGCTCATCAACTCATCATTTCGAGAATATAGGAGGCTGCTCCGTATGCGTCGGATACTGCCGCGCATTGCTTGCCTCCGAATCGACAGTGCCAAATGCTTCGACATAGAGGATTCAACTCGGGCCCGGAGCCTGAGAGTAAGTAAACCGCGAAAACTATCCTAAGTCGCCGTCGGATCGGGATCATCACCTGGACCATCATCTTATGAGGTGGTCGGCTGTGGGCTCCGAGTGCGAGTCCTCTCTGTCTCTCGATTCTTTTTCGTCGGAGCTATACCGATCCTTTTCGAAATATCGGTCGCCTGGCCTTACCGGCTGTCTCGATGCGTCCAAGCTCATCTGATAGCCCATGACTCTCGATGAGAGTCGGTGGCATCGAGGTCTCGCTTTCGGCCTCATACGGACACTGTATCCAATGGCAATGAGCAAAAAGTCGGAACCAACGCCCGCCTGCTGACTGACCACTTTGTCCAATCCAGTCAGTTACTCGTCACGACTGGGGACGACGTCGTCGACGACGGCAGCAGCAGCTGCAATTGCGCGAGCCCAAACATCCGCATAGGATCGGAGCATGAGGCAAATCTCACGTCTGAAGTCAAGAATACTCGACAGGCCACCGAGGTCACGCATTGTCCTATGGAAGCTCGCCTTCGGTGCGGGGACTCATTTTACCGTTGTTTGCGCGGCGCGCACCGTTACCGCGACAAGCTAAGTGATTGTTGAATCGAACAAAAATGTGGAGCGGAGAGATCAGCGGCACAAATGAGACGGACCGCTCCATTCCTCGCGGTACATCAAAGTTTGAGTTGGGCAACTCCACTGGGCATCTTCGGGATCCGCTATCGGCGTGGATTACGACTCTTATCTAGAAGTGCGCGGTCGGGATGAATCGGGGAATCGAAAATTTCCTCACCATTCCGTCGATGGACTATTTCACGGCGACCGAAACAAGCCGTACGGTAACCCTACTGACGCGCAATGAATGGGTGATGGGGTGAATGAATAGAAGAATGAATGGACAGAAAGAGCAGCGGCAAAGGTTGGAGCCGCTCAATGCGTGGAGAAGTTTCAATCAGTTGAAGGTCTTTTGTCACACGGAGGAGGAGAGCGCTTGCGAAGGAAATACTGCGTTCCATGGTGAGGAGAGCCCGGATCGAAAACAGACTTGACGTCCAGTAGAGAAATTCCACCGGGTCACCTGCTGAGCGAGTGTCAACTCGACGCGTTCGATCGCCAAACTGCAGTTAGGCTTCTACGCTGATTTCTGGATGACAGACGATCAAGAAGCCGTGGTAACCGATTGTTTTGCGGGATCGCTTTGTATCCAAAGCTGATACGCAGATCCTGGAAAGCTTGGGCGTCGCTTTTCATTTTCGGGGAGCGAACCGTGTCCAACTTTGTTCTCTCGAGCAGCAGAGGCGACTCAGGAACATTCGGTGGACATGAATGTCAATCTTTCCAGAAAACCCAGATTATCTAGGCTTTTCTTCACTCCTTTTTTCGCGAGCAGCCTACACATGAGCAGACCGCGCAATCGCAGCCGAAGCAGCCTGAGAAATTCACTGTCGGAAAAGTTTCATATCGGAATTCTGTTTCTTTGTGTCCGCCGGTGGTATGATCTATTGTTAACATTCCTTTGGATTCGAAGGGCCCAAAAAATCCGCCGATGGTATACGACATGAAGCTAGTTTTCAAACTTGTTCCACACAGCCAAAAAGGGGAAGGAGCAAGTTGCGTTCCCGCATTGATTACTACAAGACAAGCCGTCTGTCTACCCCGAGAATTTTTCTCTGCCAAACTTAGCAGTCGGCTAGAACGCGCGAAAGTCTTTCGCATATCAGCGTTTTCTCTGGTTCTGCCGGTCGGGGGGGAAAGGAATGGGAATCAACCACGCCCATGCTTGAAAATATGAGCTCACACTAAGGCAACGTTGTCTACGGACGGCTTTCATATGCCCGCTATGGCTCGCATGGCTTTTCGCCCCGCTCACCGTACGACCGCCTGAGGTATCTACCAAGCGAGCGACCAACAAAGTGACGACTTCAGCTGTCCAGTCGGTCGACGTCATCAACTCATTGTTATCAGTGACCTGACAGAAACCAAAGCTATCTGCCGATCTGCTTTCTTGCCCGCCCGCCTGCCCGTCCCTTCTCCTGTTGTTTGCCCGTCTGTCTGCATGCATTGAGGGTCGTTGTCAAAAACAGAAGTGGTCGAGCCGCCGAACTGAAGCAACGACCTGCTTGCCGTCGCTACGGTGAGCGGAGCCGCCACAGTCAGTCGGTCGCTCGGAAGGCAAACCTTGAGCTTGGCGATTCATGGGCGCTCGGATGACACCCCGGTTTTTCGTGGAAGACAGTCGCCTCTAGCTGTCGCGGATACACATACCCCGTGATCTCGTCCGGAGCCATGATTCATAGTGGTGAAAGTACAATAATTCGAACAA